TTTAAATTAAAAAATTTTCTTTTTTTTGGCTTCACCATGCAGCATGCGGGATCTTAGTTCCCTGAGCAGGGATCAAACTTGTGTCCCCTGCATTGGGAGCACGGAGTCTTAACCACTGGACCAACCAGGGACGCCCCCAGAAATTCTCTTTGACAGATTGTTTTCCCCTTAGGAAAACCTCTTATGTTATTCATATAATATACAGTCTAGCAAGTGAACAGTTAATCAGAAACTAATTTGATAATGGCCATTACGTAACTTTGATATTTCTAAAATAAATTCCTAAGCATACTGAAAATACTGTATATCCAGCACACCAAAGGCAGAGTTCCCCATAGTATCAGTCTGGAAGTGTGTGCCTAATATCCTACCCACATGATGAGGGTAGAGGGACCCACAGGCCTCCCAGAGCCAAATGTTCCCCCTGGACCAGTTTGCATAAATGGCTCAGATTGCCCCAAGGGAGCCACTGGTGGAATTTCATCTTTAACCTTCTGGAGACTCCAAATTAAAATGCAAATTTGTTACCCAGGAAGGTAATTTTTAACACGTTAATATTTATTTGTTAGTACTTTAGCACAAATTAGGTTTTCTCAAATTAGCCAGCTGCCTGAGAGCAGTGCTTAAATAGAAGTGAATCAGCCTCCCAGAGGTGGGCTCGGGGTAAATTTGAGTAAAGGTCCACCCCCCATCACTGTCAGTACCCAGCATTTGCAAGAGTGCCTGTGTGGAGTCACACATGAATACACACACACGTGCGCGCGCGCGCGCGCGCGACTTAAGAATCCAGACTTTAGCATAGCATTGTTCAATAGAAATACAGTGCAAGTCACACAGATGATTTTAAGGTTTTTAGTAGCCACATTAAAAAATGTAAAGTTTCAAAGGTGAAATTAAATTTAATGGTATTTTATTTAACTCAGTATATCCAAAATGTTGCTTCAATATGTAATCAATATAAAAATTATTAATAAGTTAGTTCTCCTTTTTGAGTACTAGGTCTTTGAAATCTCATGTGTATTTCACATTTACAGTTTGTCTCAATTCGGACCACTCCCGTTTCAAGCGCTCAGGGCCCGCTTGTGGCCAGTAGTTACTCTGGACAGTGTAGACCTGGAAAGTGGGTCATAGACATGTGGTTGACTGAGGCAGCAACCTGGTGGGCTGGAGGGACAAATGGAAGTTGGGACCACCCATACTTCCCCACCACTCAATTATATCAGTCTTAACCCTGTGTAATTACATAAAAACTTTTAGAAGAACCTGATGCTGACTCCACCACTTAGCTTGTGTGACCTTGGGCAAGTTACTTAAAACCCTCAGTTTTTTCATTTGCATGTAAACACCATAAATGCTCAATGAATATTTGACGTATCATCACAAATGATATTATTAGTAGCTATTTTTACAAACTAAATTAGTTTAAACATGAACTATAAAGGCAGTCAGGTGCGATCAATCTTTCTGTATTTCTCTAAAAAGGAGAAAAATGACCAAACATCTATATTTATAATATCTTTTAAGAGTAGGTTTCACTAGTTCCTGAAATTGGGCATTCCACCTCATGCAAATCATCCATACACCAAGAAATCCTGAAGATACTACCTTGCCTTAAGAACCATTTTGTTTTTGTTTTTAACCAAAAGTAGGTCTATTTAAATATTCCACAAAGAAACTTCTACAGAAGACTGTCCTAAAATACAACCTCATTATAGTAGTGGGTGAGCCAATGAAACAAAAGTTTTTCTTTCTCTTCTTTGTCCTCATTTATCTTCCTTTATTTAAAGTCAGCAGAAGGAACTAATTAAGGCAAAGCTAAAGGAGAAGAATTCAGAGTTTTGCATGGCACATGTGAATTAATCTTCCCACAATGGCATATTTGAAAGGTCAAGTAAGGCACTCACTCCTTCTCTGTACCCCATCTGGTGAACCCTCACCAGCAACGGGGCAGAAGGAAGGGCATGTCTTGGGTGTGCAGTTGGGCTCTCTCCAAACTTGCTTACCAAGTCACTGTCATTCAAAACTACAGTGTAATGGTTTTCACCCAAAAGAGAATGATGGAAAATCGTAACACGTGTCAATGCTTGCTATACACGTTTCATGGGGGTTTTGTTTAGAATGAAAGATATAGTGAAGATTTTAAGATACAAATACATGGTGATTAAATATGGGATGTACTTACACATTCATGCACCAAATGCTGCAAGGCTGTGAACCACACAGAGCAAAGAAATGTACTTAGCCATCAATTTAGAAGGTCATTTTGAATGTAGGCAGCAAAATGGCTGTGTGCATGAAAAACCACTACTGTATTTTGAGAGATCCTTCCTAAGAATCCTGAAATATTAATAACATGGTCTTAATGTAGTTGAAGACACAAGAATGTGTTAAGGGTAGAGAGGGTTGCTGAGAATAGCACAATGACAATTTTGGATTTTCAGCTTGTGCTTGTAAAAGCAAGAGGAAAAGAGAGTAAAAATAGTGTGTTTAAAGAACAGCAGCCTTCAATTTCCCAAATAGATATAAAACTCTGTATTCTCCAAATGAATTCACAAATACTTACTCTTGGTAACATTAATATACTAGCTTCAAGGAAACAGAAAAGAAGTATAAAATTGAACATTCATTTTTCCCTTAAATAAACATGTATATACACAACTAATTTTTGAACTTTAGGAACTTCAAGATATCCTTCAATTTGATTTTTGTGAACTAGGAATCCAATTCTTTAACTGGAAGTAGTCTTACTGGAATAGAAGTGGAGGAAATAGCAATGCTTTTCTTTTTCTTAACAAGTTTTTGAATGTGTTCTGTTTTCACATGGCAATGAATCAGTCATAGGCCAATTTTGTTGTCAATCTCCCACTCCCGCTGTGAGTTTTTACATTTTGATGCCTGATGAAATGAAGGTGCACAAGGATTAGGCAGGAACGTGGAAAGTTTTCCTCCAACATCCAGATGTGAAAAAATAAAAGCAATTTACCCCTTATTGGCCGTCCCAGCCCCAAGTGACCAGGTTTCCACAATTGCCTTTGTGGGCTGTGACTGACTGAGTGAGACACGAGACCCAGTGGGTTTGTGTCAAGTTCAAGGACTCATTGTGTTTGAAGTGGGAAGAACGAGTTTGACCCTCTGTGCTTCTTCCTGCCAAAGCCACAGTTTTTGATTTTAATCGAAACCCTAGGGCCATCTAAAGCGTGACCAAGAAGCACCTTGCATGTTGAACCTTATCTAATGATATGATGTGTATAAACTTGAGACACATAAATCTCAGTCATAGTCGTTGGAGCAACTTGTTTTTCTAAGATGCTCCGGTCCAGTGACAGGCGAAAGCAAATAAGGGAGAGACTGATCTCCGAGCGCTTTTATTGTCGGTGCTCCACACGCCATAAAGTTTTGGATCGTTAAAGGAAATTCCATAAGCAACTTTAGTTAATAATGGTGAAGTAACTTTGTGCTTTTCTGGAGCTTCTGCTGAACTCCATTTCCGCCTGCTGTTACCAGAGCATGATTAAGAAAATACCAACAGGATGTGCTGGACAGGGGAACAGACTTCAACTTGAAGCCGTACAGATGCTTGATGGATGAGTAACGAGACACGGAATGTGGCCATATCTCCTCGGAGAATCACATAGTTCTGTGGATCTCTTTTTATCTACTGGTTTTGAGTAAAATCTGCTGATTGCTGGCGCGGTTGGTCTCTTGCGGTGGTCACGCTGATGGAAAAGGCCCTTCTCCCAGCTGATATTTTTGATAGTTTAGAAATACCCAAAGTGTGTGATAAATGGAGAAAATTGAGAGTGAATCATACTGGAAAGATTGTGGGTAGCTGTAACATTTTTATGGTACCTCTGGTTTTATAAAATAACTTTATTTTTAATGGCCTTGTCACTGTGGCTTTAATATGGATGGTGTCAGTCAATTTTTATTTGAGGTTGAGATAGATTTGGGAGGTGATCTTGAAGGGCGTAGGGGAGAAAAAAAAGGGAGAGAAAGACGCTATTAATTATTATTTATTGTGAGATTTCCCAGAATTATTGAGTCTTTCCACATTAGTCAAAGCGGTCCTCGGTGTCAGTGTGATGTTAGATGAGGTCATGGAAAGCATGTCAGGTGCATAAGGAACTATATGGCCCTGGCCCATGTTCTCTCTCCACCAGCGACTTGGGCTGTGTGTGCAGAGGGAGGGCGGTGTTGGAAAAAATGGAGGAAGGGGGAAACATGAGGGTTTTATGAATTTGAAAATGAATGCAAAATATCTGCCAATCTTGAAAAAAAAAATCTGAACATATTATATTCCAGAATCTACCGTGGGTAGTTTTATATTATTTTCCCCTGAAATCATGATCCATGTCTTACCAACTCTTTTCTTTTATGCTTGGTTGCTTCTGTTGGTCTTTCCACTTTGGTTCTCTCTGTAGCTGAGCGTAATTAGGAAATAATCACCTACCAATTTTTTGTTGGTGCTGGGATACACTTCCAACTATTTGGTTCAAAACCATGCTGTCAGATTCCATAGCATGGGGCCAAGAGTACAGGCTTTGGGGGCCGAGCGCTTGCAGTCAAAGCTGGTCCCTGACATTTACCAGATGCATGGTCTGGTGCCGACAGTTTACCGCTCAAAGCTGGTATTCCTCATTTCCAAGGTGAGACTAGTAACAGTGCCTGTGGAAAAGGGGTGCCGTAAGGATCAAACGGCATCATGCATATAAGCATGTAGGAAGCGCTGGGTAAACTTTAGCTGTGCTTTTATTGACACAACCGGTTTTAAGAAATTTTTTTCCACAGGGCTTTGCCACCTGACCGTAATGTTAATGGCTCTTAAAGAGTGACTGTTATCAACAAATGTTTTGGGTTGTTTTACCTGCATCTCAAGCCAGATGCTCACTAGTGATTAGCAAAAATGTCTCCTTTCTTCTGAATCAAGGAGGTAACATTTCGCTTTGCTATGTTATCAGGGGTTTATGTTGATTTTTTTTTTTTCTTCTGCTTTCCTTTAGCTTGCAAAATTGGATATTACAAGGCCCTGTCCACGGATGCCAGCTGTGCCAAGTGTCCACCACACAGCTATTCTGTCTGGGAAGGAGCCACATCGTGCACCTGTGACCGAGGCTTTTTCAGAGCCGACAGCGATGCTGCCTCCATGCCCTGCACCCGTAAGTTGTATGCTCATCTCCCGTTTCTTAGATGCCAACAGCTTTCATTTCCACTTAGCAGGGTACTGCTAGGCCTTCTCCCAGGATAACCATGCAGGGGGCAAATGAAATGAAACATGCATCTTTTCTCAGTCAGAGCAGGGGCAATCCTTAGGAAAAGAAAGGCTCTTTTTCACTGAGTTTGTCGCCTTCAAGATGCACAGCTGCCAACAGACGACTTGGTGGAGCAGAGATTGAACATTCTGGGGTTGTCTGACACACTGTAATTAGAGCTGAGACTGGAATTTATACACGGCTTTACCGTTTCATCTAGGACTCCTGGGGAAGCATGACAGCTGCAAGGGAAACAGGTATAGGATGGGATCACATGTGGGCAAGTGGGTTCAGTTCTGTGCACAGATGTCATAGCTTTGCAATGTCATTACACTTCTTTCCTCAGAGTTTTGTGTTCATAACATTTAGACCTGGATCCTAATAAATGCCTGTTTAATGATAGGCACTGCACACATGCTGGGTTAAGGAATGGATGGGGTTGGCACCTCGGTATGCAGGGGAAGAGAACTCCTTTCTCACACTTTACATGGACAGTGTTTCTGGGGGTTGACATTCCTTTCATGCACACTCTGGGATTCACAGACCCTGCAGTGGCTATGACCTTGACCAGAGCAGGGAGTGGTGGGCCCAGGTATTCCACCCCTGTGTTCTCATTGACTGAGCCTGTGTTTGGAGGGACAGAGCTGAGTGGCCAGACACAGGAGCTTTCCACAGGTTTTGGCTTTGTTTCGCAGCCCACCATTTAGTACCCAAATGACTATTTAGCCTTTTAAGTTTCAGTCTCCTCATCTGTAGAATGGTCTAATAATAGTACCTCCCTCATGGTTATTGCTACTCAATACACTCATGTTATTTACATACTATGTAAACTGCATAAAACCATGCTACTTGACAGATGTTAGCTTTTACTGTCATTAGGACTTTCATTATTTTGTTCCTTAACTACCGTTCATTCCATCTTGGCTGGCCTGTAAACATCACTGCAGATAGCAGTTTTTTTTCTGGTTTGGAGTCAGTTGGGTCAGGTGGGGGGCCATTGTCTAGCCCAGTCAAAGACCACCTTTAAAAGGGGTGAGCGGAGAGGGCTTCCCTGGTGGCGCAGTGGTTGAGAGTCCGCCTACCGATGCAGGGGATGCGAGTTCGTGCCCCGGTCCGGGAAGATCCCACATGCCGCGAAGCGGCTGGGCCCGTGAGCCATGGCCACTGAGCCTGCGCATCCGGAGCCTGTGCTCTGCAACGGGAGAGGCCACAACAGTGAGAGGCCCGCGTACCGCAAAAACAAAAACAAAAAACAAAACAACAACAACAAAAAGGAGTGAGCGGAGAAACTTCAGGGCCATCCCAAATTTGTACTGAAATTGCTGTACCCTCCGGAGTTCACTTCATAACCAGAGAGGATAATAATTATTGTCATAATAACTACAACAACCATTTTATCATTATACCCAGGTAATGCATTAGGCACTTTTGATTAACTTTATCATAGGGCTCATATGATAACAATCTACGAGACAGACATTATCTTTATTTTAGAGATGAGGTAACTGCCAGCTCAGAGATGTTAGGGGTCGTGACCAGGACTCCACCCCAGCTTGGTGATGGTGCTGCAAGACCAGAAGACGCACAGTTTCTATTTACTGGGAGGCACTCTTGCCCTCTTCCTTAGCTCATGCACAAATTTTCAGAGGGAAGGAGTATATTAAGGCCAGGCTTAGTTATAAACATAACTGGACGAAGATTTCCTCATCTTCTTTTTCTGTTCCTTCCATAGACTAAGTACTTTTCTCTGGATGCCACGTATATTTGATATGCTCAAGTCCAGCCTGTTTCTTTAACAATCTATGTATTCTTCTCTTATGTTCCATTGTGTGCAGTTAGTTTAATAATAAACTCTCTTCCTCTGTCCACACCCACCACCAACATTTCTCCAGTTGAGATTTTAGGGCATAATAGCAAAGCTCAAAGGGGAATATAGTGGGACGACAGTGTGATGATTGCCCTCAATTTGCATCATGCAGTCCAACACCTACTTTCCACACAGATAAAGTCTTCTCTAGGCTGGGGCTTGATTGTGAACCTCATAAAATTCACCCCTGATGGTAAGATAACCTGGCCTTTTTCTCCCAGGTATTTTTAGTCTTATGATTCTGATCTGTTATCTAGCATTCTAGGGGGCCATGGGCCAATCACTTAATTCTTGCAGCTTGCTATGTGGGAGTTTAGGGAGACCCCAAAGGTTGCCACATGCCTGAGTTACTGGTATGTTTACCATATGTGTAAAAGTGGTTTCTGAACCCTTGGAGTTGTATGTTTCTGTAGGAGTAAATTATTAGCTTTACCTTGACTACGCAAATGAGAGAAAGAAAATATTGATCTTAGCCTAAGGTTAGACCTGAAAGTTTAACATGAAAGTAACTTTTGCATTTTTCAGAGATTGTTTTCAACAACGTAAGAGAGGTGGCTTTTTGTGCCATTGATAAGAGACCCATGAAAATGCCAAAGCAATATGTGATCCTTAACGCTCTCCTAACAAGATCATTGCATTTATTGTATCTCTCCGACTCCGAGTTAAGAGGAAACACAGTGCTGACGTTAATACCACACACTTGAGAGGCTATTTAATCTCTCCAAGCCTCAGTTTACTGATCTGTAAAATGGGATTCTCACTATCTACCTGTGAGGTGGTTTTAAGAATTAAACAAGAAGGGACTTCCCTGGTGGTCCAGTGGTTAAGACTCCGTGCTCCCAGTGCAGGGGGTCTGGGTTCAATCCCTGGTCAGGGAACTAGGTCCTGCATGCTGCAACTAAAAGAGCCCACATGCCTCAACTAAAGATCCCGCACGTGGCAATGAAGATCCTGTGTACTGCAGCTAAGACCCGGAGCAGCCAAATAAATAAATAAATATTAAAAAAAAGAAGAATTAAACAAGAAGATATTTGCAAAGGTCTGGCACATGGTAGGGATATAACGAATGTTTGTTCTCTTCTTTTATCCCCAGCTGGTCACTTCCTACCCCAAATGACTTCCACAGCAGACAGCCAGTGCATCTCACTGCCCCTCTAAAGGGATTGTCTCACTTGACTACATGATTAAATTACCAATGAAGCTCTGGGGGGTAGGACTGAGGCATCAGTATTTTCAAAAGTTGCCCCCATAATTCTACTGTACAGACAAGGTTGAGACCACTTCTCTACAGAGTTGAATTTTTAAGTTTTATTTTTTAATTTAATAAATATTAAATACCCAAGACTCTTTAAGACCTCTTGGAGATAGGGGTAATCTGGGAGGTGACCATATTTTGCTAACAGATAGACTAGTACATTAAACAAAAGAATTAGAATCTATTCTAGCCTACGGCTCTCCTTCTAGATTTCTTCCATCCTGGTGAATACAGTGGACCTGCATTGTCCAAGACGGTAGCCACGAGGCACACGTGACTGTTTTAATGGCCACATTTCAGGGCTCAATAGCCACATGTGGCTAGTGGTGACCATACTGAACAACACTGCTATAGAATATTTCTATGATCACGGAAAGTTCCACTGGACAGTGCAGTGGTAGATTTTTCAATAGAGAAGACAGTGGGAGTTTCTCAGAGAACACCTTGATCAACTAACCCAGAAAATGAAGCCCTTCCCCCTTGCCCCACCCCCAGCTTTATCGGCTTCTCTTGACAAGATGTGGGGATGGAAAGGAACATAAACATCAGGGATCCTTTCAAAGTGATTCCAGCCTCTTATCAGTTCTTCCCAGTTGGTCAAGCCAGGTGACAAACCCAATCCCCTTGTGCTGACAGCCATGATAATCAGGGACTTCTTTGTTCATTATGCTGTCTTTAACCCCAACATTCTTATGCAGCCCTGAGTTTAGTGATCGCTCACTGTGACGGCACACTAATGAAGAAATAAAACACACTCTCTGAGACTCATTCTTCTAGCCAAAGAGAGACTCTGCTCCACTGGCTTGTAAAATCAGGTTTTTGTTCACTTGGAGAACGATTAGACCAGGAATACAAGCAGCATTGGCTAATTTAGAAGGAAACGCCTAAGAAGTTCTTCACACCGTCAACATTGCTGGAGAACTTCAGAGAATTTAATGGAGAATAAACTTTATCTCTAGGAGGACTTTGGATGGAGCTTCTGGTTAGGTTAGGTTAGCATAAATGGCTGTGAGTAAGACAGGCAGTTTTCAATGGAGGCATCATGTGAACATTTTCAAGAAAATAATCTGTACCTATTAGAATAGAGAGTAAGAACAATGCTTCTTAAACATGAATGTGCGTAGAATCACACGAAAGACACCTAGGGATTGGTAGGAGATGTCAGGCTTGACATTCTGCATTTTTAACAAGTCCCCAGATGCTGCTGGTCTGTGGACCACCTTTAGCCAGTAGGAATTTAGAGCCTCCCTGATGGATCACATGTGATGGGAGACCCTCTCTTCTGTCCTTGTCACTTTCAGGCCATTTCTTCAGCTCATTGGTGACTCTAGACTAGAGAGATTTCAAGCGTTCTGAACATTCTCCCTTAATGGAAATCGAGTACTTTATTTGTCTCCCAGATGAAGAAAATCCAACCTGGTTTGGAGTTGCATAATCAAACACAGGCACTGTGGAGTCTCTACTATGTTACTAGGTTACAGCCAAAGAGTGGAAATGTCAGTGTTCCCCTTAGGCACAGACATCAGTCAAGAAAGTCAACAGGGTTTTTGGAGACCTTGCCAGCAAGGCAGACACGCAGGCCTCCATACATAAAAGGATGCCATCTAAGCTGATGAAGGGATTTTGATTTCATGAGCCATTTCTTAGAAGAAATTTCAATGTGATTTTAAAAAATTGGAGTATAGTTGATTTACAGTGTTTTAGCTGTACAGCAAAGTGATTCAGTTATATATGTGTGTGTGTGTGTGTATTCCTTTTCAGATTTTTTTCCGTTAGAGGTTATTA